CCCCCCCCCCCCCCCCCCCCCTTCACTTTTACCTCGTGAATCGAAATTGAAGATCGGAACGCAAAGTCGAATATTCTCATTTAGAAATCAAGTAAAGCTTTCAGCCACGCCCAGTTTGGTCTCTCTTAGTTTAGACAGCAATGGAAATCTGAGCGCTACATACATCTAAAGAATTCAGTATCATTTTATGATATTAAATCACATTCTTATCGGATGCTGTCACCATATCCCGGGTCATATCTATGAAGACGTTTAAAATATTTCGTACCAGACTGACCTGAACAATGCATCTTTACTGACAATGTGGCTCAAACACTTTTGTCGTGCAGCTCTGAAAGGTACCTCAATGGGTAAATGCATCGTCGCCAGTCCTATAGTAGCACCAAGATCCGCATATTTATCCTGACCACTTAACGAGACGTCGAGCATCCCTGCCCCTTCCACGGTGAGAGTCTTCCTCCACTATGGGCAAATCGAATATCGGTCGATAATCAAGGACAGGGAGCCTGCTGCCAACTCTAGCCTGCTGCCAACTAAACTCATCTTTATTTCGCAGCTCAAATATATATCTCTCATGATATGTTCGCTCGTACGTCTTTCGCCGTGACCAGCTTCCAGTTGGCTTGATGATAGCTCCTTTATTAAACAGAGCACTGAATCGAACCGGTGTCACAGAGGCCATGGAGCCGTGGGCTCGAGTCAGGAATAATTTTTTTATACCCTCTTTTTCGCAGCTGCCTACCTTGGGTACAAAACTGAGAAGATAAAGTCGTAAAATCTTCATCCCGCGGTTAAATTAAGACATGATCTTTCATATATTTTCACTTCTGGAGTATTATCACTTCTTTTTGGAGTGGAGCTGAGCAATTTTAATTAACACCTCCTTAGTTTGTCTTTGTGTTTATAAAAGGTCAGTGCTGGTGGGAGTTAAACATTGCGTAAAATTTCCGGTTACGATGACTAACCGGAAATAGTTAAGCACGCGCTGATACTTTTCATGTTTTTTACCCAAATCAACATGAAAGTTCATGCACCGTTCCTCTCGCGTGCCGGACTCATCGTCTCACGGGTAAGATCTTTTTAAACGATCACCACGGGACGGAAATTGCTTTCTGTGGCGGGCGCGCGTGGTGTGTGCGAGTTATGAGGGCATACTGAAACTTAAATTTCATCTAATATGCCAAAAATGCTTCGCTTTTTCTGTTATCTCTATATGCTTAACCCAATACAGTTATCGGCTTTTTTGAAATTCTTATGTGATGGTGCTAGCAGACAAAACACGGAAACATCATCTCATGTCTCCAGGGAAGAATAAATTATCATTGCGACTGTGAAGTATTCGATAAAAGCTTACTCTCATTGTTTACGTCTATTCTGTTTGTGGGACGGGACGAATTACTCAAATAGGATAAAAAGAACTTTCTACAAAATAAGTGTGAAACTTGTTTTTCTAGAAGTTCGAGTACTATATTTTAAAATTGAGCTAATTAGTATTAAATCTGAGAATTTCACCACTCCTGTTTATGGCGTGTTTTAAATTTGTCTTGTACGGTTAAAATATTCGTCTATGAATCTCTCGAGAAGATGATATCCACATAGATGTTCTATAATAGATAGGACGGAAATACCGAAAATATACGTCTACATTATCATACTCATTGTTGATGTGAAGTTCAGAATTACGGTTGTTTCTTTTCTGCAATGACATCGAGAAAACCTTGCCGTTGCGCTTAACAAAATATTTCAGGTTTGCTAAGCAGCTTTGTAATGAAGCATTGAATGTCAAAGAAAATTCTCAAGCTTTCCGTGGCGGTAAAAATACAAAGTATGATATAAAATGACGCACTCATGAACGGGGCGGGGGTGTGGTGATGCCCTTGTTGGCAGAGTCATTCCGTGATGACATTTCCTGTTATAAATGATGACACACTGTTTATATAAGGCGGGATTCGCATTTCAAACAGATCAGAAACTGAACTATCGTACAACAGAACGGATACAGCGTACAACGTGGAAAGAGACCACAATCTGGAGTATTGTTATTAGAACTTTTGGAAGCATTCAAAATTGCAAGTAAGTGTGTTATTTGCATCACCAAATGGCGTAGTATTCTGAAGTTTCTGCCAGAAACCTTCTAAACGCAGATGCTAATGAGAAATTGACCTCAGAAATTGTATCGTGCTGCCGTGGTCTCGTGGTGTATATATGGACTACCAAAATATCTCTCGCAACAAAACGAATTCGGTTTTCTCATCAATACAACTCAAGGTCAAGGCTCTCTTTGAGTATTTGATTCATAGGTCCTATGCATACAGAACCCTATTATATTTGTGATGAGCACAGCCGAGGGTTTGTATTGGAAATGGCACTCACAGTATTATACATGACATTCCGATGTCGTATAAATACAAAAAACAATAGAAGATAAAATCAGAGCCGATTTGTATCTCTCGCGCAAATATATCCCGCTCGCTGAGGCAAGAGGCTAGACGAGTCAGAGACCTTGTAGATTTCACACTGATTTCAGTTTTGGCGTCTTCGCTCCGTCGATCTTTCATTATTGTTGTTGTTTTTTGTCAAGGACAATGAAAGCAAAACAAAAAAGAATTGTTTTAAAAACACTGCAGTGAATAACGAATAAAACCTATGTAATTGTCCCTTCATTCTACAATCATTTCATGCTCACTGAGTTCCAACAGAGGCACTAATTATGCGTCTGCTACGAGTGAGTCACATCTCAAACAAACACTGCCCGTTTTGTAGATCGGTCTTGAGTTTGCACCACGTTTTCTTCGTCCTATGAAGAAAACTGTTTCCGGATTAATGCCTCCCAGGTGATGATATGACAAGCCAGAATTTCCACGAGGATTTCACGTACTATAAATTCCCGCGAAGCTCACGCATTCTGCGCTGTTTATGTAACTGCTGTATTTACTCCTATTGTATTCACATTGCATGCTGGGTAAGCTTTTTACATCAAGTGTTTATTGGAGAGTTGTGTCGACGAAAAGGCGGTTGATTTGAATAATACCGTATGATTGCCACTTGTGGCTTTTCAAAAAAGGCGTTGTTTACTTGTCACCTAAGCCACACCAAATTAGAATGGCGGTGCACCATCTAAAGCACTCGAAGTTAGCGTCTGTTGCGGTCATAAAAGGGACGCGTTCGAAGATATAGCCTTTGTAGATCTTGTTCCTAACTTGTTCATGGCGATGCGAGCTCGGTTTATGTTGCAAAAGACCGAAGGGTAAATTATTTTTATGTGGTAGCTTTTTGTTACAACTACATAGTGTTTTAACGAGGTGCTTTCCTTTTCAAACAGTTTATTTGCATTGTATATTATTCTAGCTAGCCAGCAAGCATGTTCACCTTTGAGTCATGACAGCACTAGCGAAGATCCGTTTGTGTTTAACTTTGCGTTACGACTATATTTTCAGGTTTACAACAAGACCTAACGAAGGAAAGAGAGGATTCGATGTCACAATGGCTTTTGTTTTATCGTTCGTGCTGCTTGTTTTAGCTGGTAAGAATTGCATTTAGTTAAGCTTAAATTCTTTAGCTTGTTGGAACACGAACGAGCAAAAGATGCCAAGCTTTATTTAATTGTTATAGCTTGTAACCTCCGGTCTGTTTAAAATTTTGAGTTTACCTTGAGCCTTTAATAAGCGTAATTGAAAGCTTACATTGTACTTGGATTAACGATGGTCGACTCAAGAATAAGAAAAAAGTTTGTCCATAATTCCGAGTGTATGTTTTTTTGCCTACCCATGTTTGAGGTGGGCGGGACGGTGGAGGTGGGGGCTGATTAGAGAGACAAAGGCCCACTGGACGGAGGGGGGGGGGGGGGGGGGG